CAAAATGCTACACCCGAACACTGAGAGCTACCAACAGTCGCTAACGAAGACGGATGCATTTTGGACATACCCAAAGATGATATCACGCCCACCGCAAGGATGCAGCGGCAACAATACTCGAGGGTCGCTGGCCCAGGAGGAAGAACAAATGCTTAGATTCACTGATTTTTGGAAAGCGGTGTTAAGTCAACCGGCACCCTGCTCGTCGCCAAGGTCGGAAACATCTGAATCGGTAAGACCAGTGTCGGACGATGAGATGAGCGAGCACTGCAAAAAATGAGAGGTACTGCTTGGGAGTAGACAAACTGACCATACGGACGTCAAGCATGTGAATCCCAAATTCGGTACCTCATTCCTTTATTGCTTATTAGTGTGTGCCCAACCCCTCTCATATGAACGTCAACAGGCTCACCTTTGTACCCAAAACAGACAGACCCGTAGCCTAGAGATAACGAGCCTAACAGGTAATTTTGCAGCGCGGGTTCGAGTCTCTTAGGGGCAGGGAGGCCCTCGCAGTATGCTTCGCCTACGTGCGACCGGCGGTGGTTGCGCGGCAGCGAAGCGTCCGTACTGCTGATGCCTAACCTTGTGTGCCCAAAAGAGACAGTCCTAAACTTTCAGAACACATTCGTCTCACTTCCGTTACATCTATTTTCACTCTTGTTTTACACTGCACCAACCGCTGGGCCCTGTTATTTCCCTCTGATTGACTTCAGTACGGATTCCTCCAGAAAGATGGTCGCTTTGAAGCGCTAACAATCCTCCATTTAATACTGAGCTAAGTTCACGTTAATTGTGTTCCCTTTCTTCATGCCCAATCGATAAAGCTAAAGCTCGCGATTTCATTTCACATCTCTCAGTAGAGCAGCACCTTCTTTCGGAGAACCGCCGTTTCCCGTTGGCTAACATTCATTTTACGACTCAGCAGCAATTTCAAGATTTAGCGGAGTAAGTATACGTACAGAACAAGAAGTCTGTAAAAACAACACGCTATCGCGCTTATCCTTTAACAGAACACTCAAGGAATCTTCGGAGAAATCACACAACACCGAATGAGACTCAAATGCAGGACCACTGGAATAGGTCGCTTAAACCGACGCTGGCATACTAATTGGAAAAGAGCGTAAGGCCTAGGCAAACGTGTTAATGTGCGTAGCAGATCTGCCGACAATGACTACACTCGCCGCGTCGCTGGCGACACAGAACCAGTGGCTCAAGTTATTCACGGTGTTTGTGTCGTCCTCAGCAAACTTGCTGAATGCACTCTACTCGACTGGATACCGGTGAACAGCCGCATGTGTGCGGTATGACTTCGAACCACTATTAAAGTTAACAGGCACCATCTGAAGACAGAGACTTTTCATCGCCTCCGTTTATGCCTTTATTGACTGCAGTACCAACGTTATCAAAGGACCCTTGTATCGCCATCTCTTACGTCTTAAACAAATGGCGGTTACTGACCTAGTGTTTATTACTGATGAAACCAATGCCCAATGAAGGCGCCTTTAAGAAGCTGAGCGACAACTTCAACGCAGTCTCGGGATAAATGCACGCAGAACAGACAATGGCGTTCACTCTTTCTGCTTCACACAAGCGCCGCGCTTTCAACCCTTGCATTTAAGTGGAACTCCCATTCTTAAGTTCAACAGTATCACTACGAACCGGCCGACAAGCTGTCAAGGATGGTTGAAAATAGTGAGCCGAACGTTGACTGGAAACGCTTCAAGTGTATTATGAAAAATGCCTTTCATGATTACAGTACACCCAACCTGAGGCGTAACTGTGGGTGGATCCCTAAGGCATCGATCAGGTTGATTGAAGCGCCTAAATAGGTTCCAATGTAACAGCTTTAGCATGTTCGTAATGCCCTAAGCAATGTCTGACAAGAAGTCTTCAATTTGACCGGGAACGCGGCTGGGTTTCACGGGTTCATGAAAAGCAGGAACCCAGTGCCATTCCAGCTCATCCGCAGCACGATCCCGAGAGAGCTATCAGTTAGTAAGCCAATAGCTGAGAAAAATGGACAGTTGATCTATCCTCAGCTGCGCCGACTAGCCTGTTGGGGGGGTACATTGAAGAGCAGTTCATCAAGTCTGCTGCGACACTGGCGTTTACTAAATCACCGAAGCCCAACATGGGAAACTGATGTCACACCTCCCACTTCAGAAGAGATTTGAAGTGAGTGCATTGTGTTGAAACGAAAGGTTCCCGGCGACCTTCCTTCACGTTTTCTGAAAGTTGGAAGCGACACTTTGATGGTTGGACTCGCTCCTCTATCTAACATGATTTGCGCCACTGACTGGTAATTGTCAACTGTTGTGCACATCCACAGGAAGGGGTAACGGACTTTGTGCGAAAAGCATCGAGGCATTAGCCTTATTTCTATTGCCTCCAAACTTCTCACGGGTATCGCACTTATGCGACCTAACGGTCCGCATGAGACCGAATCACCGAAAGCCAGACTAGCTTCCGCCCTGCTCACGGTTGTATCGACCACATATTTACTCCACGCCGTGTTAGAACAGGCATTTGAAGTGGACCGAATATGATGGCTTTCTTTGACTTGAAAGCCGCCTTCAACCCTGTTGATCGTGCCAGTTTCGACACTGCCGATCCGTGAAAGGCGTGCCAGATAAAGTCCTTTCCATTCTGAAGTCGCTCTACGGTGACTCCTGAGGCCATGGAAGGGTCCACCGTAATATGACTCCTGAGTTTCACACAAAAAGTAGGGTTTGCCAGGGTTAACCTACATATGCAAATTTGTAATCGAAATAATCGTGATGATTTTGTTTCTTCAGATTCATCCGGAGTGAGAGTTTTGCCAGGCGACCGACTGATAACCCTAGAGTTCGCGGACGACATAGCTCTCCCTGTGTTTGACACACTGAATATGCAAGCAACGATGAGTAAACTGACGCGTAGCACCGCATGCTTCGGCATTTGCTTTGCACCTTCAAAGGATAAAGTACTGTTGCAGGAATGGACCGATACATCATCGACCTTAGCTATCATCGAACGGCCACTGGAACTTCAGCTATGTGGTGTTCGCCGAGCTCCGTAAGTTGAATGTAAACGTTTCGCCACCATTCGAGGGGGCATCGGCAGTGCAGGATTAATAGCAGGAGGTGGCAGAAGGCAAACCCAGTGATTACTGATAACTGGTTGGAAGCAGCAAGTAGAGTTTGCTCTGTGTAGCTGCATCTAATGTTACGCAGGGACAAAGACCCGTCATGTTGTGTTGCGCACGATATATTTTATGTCGGCAGTGTTTGTCCAGGAATTGCTTAACTTCCGACACTGATTTTGCCTCAACTACGTGCTGCGGCAGGTCGTTCTATACATTCCTCACTCTGCGTTCGAAACAGAGTTGGTGAGCGACCCGCTTCAAATCCGGTACGACAAGCCTGTACCGTGTCCACGGGTGCTGCTTGGTGTGCGTAAGTGAAGCAGCGGTTTCAAGATGGGGTAATCTCCAAGATATAATGTCCGGTGCGTCATGATATGGTCAACCTGCAGTCGACAATAAGCTAGGCCGTATAGCCTTAGTTTCTTACACCCGTCTTCGTACGGCACACCTAGTAAGGTGGAAATCAGCCTGGTAGCTACATGCTGCGCTCGCTCAATCTTTTCTACCTCGCCGGGTGATAGGACAATACGCGGGAGAGTCATACTCTAGCATTGGTCGTATTATTGAGACGAAGAGACGAGTGGCAATCACTTCGGACCAAGTGCTGAAACTGCGCCTGAGCGCCCAAAACATACGAAAGCTGTTTTGGTAAAGCCTATTCCAAATGGCTGCTATCAATCCTGTACTGAGGATGCCATTAGGAATCGTGGCGAAACGATTGCAATCAAGTTGCCCAGCTCGGCGAACACCACAACAACTGAACAAGCCTCCAGAGCTACCAGTATTCCGAGGCAATGGAAGTGGTTGATCGGTTCACTTACCTTGATAGTTGTGTCACATTTGGTGGGCACATCACTGAGGTTACATCACGTAACAGCAAAGCTCGTGCGGTTTTTCAGAGACTCAGCTATATGTGGAGATGGCGTGATAGCAGCCTGTCAGTGAAAGGTGGCGTGCACAACGCCGCGATTAGGCTACTCTCACTGTATGGATCCGTGACCCGGGCAGTTCACAGTGAAGAGATTAAAAGCCTGGTCGTGTTTGACCACCGGTACTTGCAAAGTATTGCTCATTTATTTGGAGCAAAAAGTGAGCAATGTTTAGGTCCACCAGTCGGTTTTTCACAAGAGGCTTTGTGGTACCTCACTCGAATGTTTGCTGAATTTTTACCGCTTACGTTGGCTAGAGAAGCCAGTGACAGCCAAAATGAAGACATTATACACTATACGTATATAACAGAGCACAGTATCCGTTGCGTGGGCTACAGGCTTGCGTGCCAAAGCGCCTCATGTTTGATATGCCCGGTGTAGTATACCATGTACAGCGAAAATGGGAAAAATCGGTGACCTCGTAGTTGCTCATCGAATGCAGGAAATTTATAGCGACCCATTGGAATTATCAAAGAAAAAGAACGAATGTAGTAGACTTGAATTCACCGGATAACCAGTGAATCAAATCCGTTTGAAAGTAACTTCGTTTGTCGCCTATGGCAGACTCGATTGAAATTTACACCATACTTATTCATTATCTGTTACAAAACCAGGGTGTTCTGGGTGCGGTTAGCAACGAAAAAAGACAGAATGAATGAAAAGCTGTACAGAATAAGCTGATTATAGATGAACTATCACAGGATAAATGTGATGAGTAAGAAGTATTGAAAACATTGCTAGAGAATGAGTACGAAGTGAGAAGTTTTCTGCTTGAAAGATAAAAACGAAAAAGATAAGGGCAGATTTGCCATATAATATCCCGCGTATATGGCTGAGACGGAAAAAATGCATGCGGAACGGAGAGCTGTTACGCAACAAAACATATATTAAGGCTAAAGTAGGAGAGCCACACATTTGGCATTGCCAGCACGGTTCATAGCTGTGCGCATATCAGTAGACGGTATACAATGCTGTCGAACGAGTGACCATCTATGGCAGAAAAGGATTAGTGTCGAGCCGACTTCGTTGCGTGCACATGGAACTCAGCACTTTGGGTTCGCTGTCAAGCCAATCATGTAGACCAAAAAGTGACAGCTGGTGAGCAGAAAAGCAGGAAGTGAGTCGAGCGTACTTCTGGTTACTAAGATTGTGGTAGGCTGTTCCTTTTAAACATCTTAATGTACTTCCAAGTGCTCACCGTGGACTTGCAGGTCCGAACAATAGGTTCCCGAGTTTGTTACCTCGTCAGTTGAATTGGTGAACTCGGATGTGTATGAGGTAGTCGCGAGACCGGTGAATGGCATAACAACAGGCCCGCCGCTGAGATTCAGATCCAAGTAGACACCCGAACAAGTACCCGACAAGGAACTGAAACAGAATGCCGAGTGTTGTTACCAGGATGTAGCGACAGAAATTCAGAAAGTAAAGCAAAGGGGGCGAGAGAATAATAGGAGCAAACAGTGGTTAGTGGTATATACCACAGATCAACCTGTCGCAAAAGAAATTATGCACTTGACAGGTGGGTACAATAAGCATAAATGTGCGCTGTACACATAGTTGCTGTTTAAGATGGCAACTGCCCTATGAACCTGACGATAACATTGGTATCAGTAATGGCCGCCAAACAAGTGACAATAAGTACAGTGTTACCTGGAATATAAAAAAGGCGTAACACAAACCTAAGCATCCACATGGAAAACGTTGATGGTTAGATTGTTGATGGTAAGATTTGGTCACATTTTAATGGTAGATGCATGGGAAGTTGCGTGCGCTAAAAAGTTAAGAAATTCGATAACAGTAAGAAAGCTGTGGAGAACACGAGTGGATTATGGCTCCAGAGAGAACGAATCAACCTAAGCAGCCCGGCCCCTGGCGGAAGGTATAGACGGATACAAGAAGAAGCGAAATATTACCTGATGGAACTGATCCAGGTCACCAAACAATGTGTTTTGTACGCTGTAACGAAAGCGATACAACAAGCCCGGAGCATCGGCAGCACTGATGTCGCTAGCGTTTGATTAAAAGCATTCCGATAACGATACTGAATACTGTATTGTGGGAGCAAGTAGAAACTTGAATCTGTACATCTCCATCAAATATGAACAAAAACGTAAAAAAGCAAACCATAACTTGTCAATACGATGGCCGTTTTTCACGTTCACGTTATATCGTTAAGAAAATGTAACGCACAGTAGACTAGGTCTCAAAAATGCGAGATGCTTGTGCGTAAACGTTCGCGGAATCTAATATTTGAGGAATGCAAATTCAATGATTGTTTACATAGTCGCACTGAGTTCGCTTCCACTATATGTTCCGGCAGTTCCAAGCATAAAGGATGGGAAACTCGCTACATATGTGGAAACATAAGCTTGTATTGGTGCCCGCGTGTGCTGCAAGGCGCTCGCAAGTGGTACAGCGGCCTTAGCATAGGGAAGTCGCTTACATGTAGAATCCGGTAGGTCATTATGAGGTCAACACGTAACCGACTGTATGCCAGGGTGAACCGTCCCAGTCTCTCGCACCTGTCCTCGTAGGGTAAGCCTCACAAACTGGGGATGAGCCTAGTAGCGACGTGTTGAACACGTTCAATCTTCTGCACCTCGCCGCGAGTGGTCGGGCAATAGACGGGCGAGCCGTACTCTAGCATTGGTCTGATGATGGGGGAGAAGAGGCGAGTGGCAACATCTTCAGAGCAGTTGTAGAAACTAAGTTTGAGTGCCCAGAGCATGCGCAGTCCGTGTTGTCAATGGACTTCAAGTCGCAACGTGAGAGTACTCCTAGGTCCTTCACAAGTGTGGGATGCAGCAGTTGGCCGTCGAGAGTGTAAGTTCGGCCGTCACCACACATCCCCAGGCTCATGAATACCGACCTGGATGCGTTGACCGGGAGACGGACTTCTGCAGACCACACGGAAAGACGATTTAGGTCTTGTTGTAGTAAGCCGCGGTCGTCGGGTGTGCTTATCACTCTCCATATCTTCAGGTCGTCTGCAAACAGGGTACACAGCAACCGAAGAAGCTGAGGTAGGTCGTTGCTATAAATCAGGAACAGTGTAGGTCTTAGCACTGTGCCTTGGGGTACGCCAATGATAGAAGGATAGCAATCGGTCAAGTGGCTGTCGACCTGTACCCTCCACTTTCGACCAACGAGAAAGTCCTGGACCCACTGTTGCAGAAATCCACTAACACCACACACTCTCAGCTTTAGAAGAAGGACCACATGGTTCACCTTGTCGAACGTTTTGCTGAAATCGATGTAGATCACGCCAACAGACTTCCCTTGGTTCACTGCCTGCATCCATTTGTGCCCCGTCAAGAGCAGGTTAGTGATGCATGAACGACCTGGTGTGAAACCGTGCTGTACGGGGCGTCAGATCTTTTGACCGGAACAACCGTAGCAAAGGTTTCTTCATAATCTTCTCAGCAACCTTGGCCGGAATAGATGTCAAACAAATTGACGTGTAGTTGTCTACCTTGCTGGGGTCACCGCCATTCGGAATCGGCCTTACCACGGAGCATTTCAATTAATCGGTAATGTACCTTTGGACAGATACCTGTTGAACAGGTCAGTTATGGCAGGCGAGATGATGGTTGATAAGGATGTGAGAATCAGGGAGTGGAGCCCGTCAGGCCCAGCAGCTTGGTGCCGTCAAGGTTGTCGAGTAGCTGACGCACCTCTTCCATATCACAATCCAGACTATCGAGTTCGATAAGGGTGGTGCACGCCGAACTCGGTACAGACACCTGATCATTTGCAAACACAGAAGCAAAGTGCGCCGCCAATGCGGAAGCACGCTCAGTGCTGGAGGTTAGGGGCTGTCCGTTCTCGTCCTCTATCACTGGTACGTTACTTGTCGGCCTCAGACGACGCCTCACGTACGCAAAGATTCTCTTTGGGGCGACTTTCTCTGCGATTGCAAGCTGCTCTTCGACATGCCTGCGCTTGATAGCTTTTACACTGTTGCAGATATTTCGCTGCCTTTTAAACACCTCACAGTCGTCGTCCGAGCCAGAGATAAGGAATTTGTCCCATAGCCTGCACCGCTGCCGAGCCAGCTTACCATATTCTTTGTCGAACCAATGTGGTTTGACCGGTCCGATTTTCCGACACTTGGGAGGCACAAATTGGTTACACAATGAATTTATTCCATTCTTTATAACTGACCAACAAGCTTCAGCAGATGCAGACTGCGGCAGAAACCAATCCACTTGGCTCGCGTCAGGCCGTCGAAATCCGTCTTCCAGTAGTTGTAATCTGGCTGCAGTCTGTGGGATTGCTGCAGTGGCAGCTCCATGTTGGCAATAAGAACTGAGTGGTCGCTTGCTGCCAGACGCCCCAGAATTCGAATGTCATACACAAGTTGTTCACAGCTGGTCAACATCAAGTTTAAGCACGACGGAGTTTAACGCGGTGTTATGCGCGTCGGTTGGCAGATGTGCTGCGCTGCCCCAGTTTCAAGTACCATATCAGCGAACTGTGCTACGACCTCACAATAACCGGTGATGAGGTCAACTTCAGACTAGTGTATTCGAGGACAATTGAAATGGCTTATGAGTAGAAGTTGACGGCGACTCATGTAGTCTCGGAGATGCGGCAACCAATCCAAACATCGGCTCAGGGGACTGCGATGGAATGCACACACGAGCAGCTCTCCGCGCCTGAGAGGGATCGAGCAGCACAACTGCTCATATAGGCCATCTTCGCTTCGGTGGACGCTCACGAATCGCCAACATAGAGAAGACCGAATGAAGAGCAAGACTACACTGTGGGTATTCGACAGCCTGTCACAGCGGAAGCACGAGTAGCCATGAAGCTCAACTTCCTTTGTGAGTATCTCATCGTTCAACCACGTCTCCACGAGTCCCATTACATTTGGGCGCTGGAAAGCAACAAAACGATGCAGCTTATCGCGCTTGTTCCCAAGACTGCAGACGTTGGTAAAGGCTACATGCAGGCTGTGGCAAGAACTACCGGGCGAGCCTGATGTGTGAGCGACCGATTTATCCGAATCTGCGATCGTGTTGTTTCTCCCTTACCAGTTCGCCACTTTAGCTCAATGATGGCACACTTGAGGCGCTCCTGGTTAGCTGGATCGATATAGGGACGAATATGCACCCAATTGCCTCTCAATCTACCCAGCCGAGGCAGTATTGGCTTCGGACTTGCCTCGTCAGCAAAAGTTACTCGCATAGGTCGGTCTTTCTCAGCAATTCTTTCAGAGGCAGATGATTTGTTTCACTTTCACTCCGTCCTCACCCATATCGAGGAGCTTATCAAGCAGGCTCTGTAGAAACTCCACGTCATGGCCATACTGTATCCGAGGACTTGGATCGTTGAACTCAGGCGCGTGAAAAAGCATCAGATTTAATTGCCTCTTGGCACTCAAAGTGGTTCCTGCAGGAGAAGGGTGGACTCGAGCGTTGCTTGATTTGGCCAGTTGTTGGTCAGTAGAAAGAAGCTTTTCTTCATTTCGCGGCTTCTGTCGTCGTTGAGATTTCGACGGCTTCTCTTGCGCTGGACCTTCATCTGCGTCATTAGAGCTAGTAGGACGCAAAGTCAGTGGGTCATTAGCCTCATTTAGTGTCGCATCTCCAGAAACAGTAGGATGGCGAGGTAATGAGTTGTCCGAGGACGTTGAATTGAAGACTGGATTGAACTTTGGACGGACTCTAGGCTAATTTAGGGGACAGTAGGTCGAGAACGGCTCACAGTTAAACGTTTTTGGTCGCGACCTGCATGGGAGACGTTACACGTTTCTCTGGCTTAGACTGCGACATTCGTTGCACCAAAGTTGGATAAAATCATGTTGGATGGAAAGCAGAAGACGATAGGAATCGGCAGGTAATCCAACACATGAAATATGAAACCTAGCACAACAATCAAAGCAAGTAAGAGCAGTTCCCGTGCTTCCAACAATCTTCGAGCAGGAATCACAAGGTGATTTCCTTGGCACTTTGGAAAAATGATGCTAAAGTGCAGTAAAGTGGAAAAGTAGAATTCGCAAAATAGGAGTACGAAATTTGTGGGAAGATAGCACCCAAAATATGATCTAAAAATTGCAGACTCAGAAATCAAGTTGAATGATTCCGAAATTTCCACAAAATAATTCCAATATGCCGGTAAATCCACAAGAGTATCCTGACAACGCACACACGGAATAAGCAACCGAGGGTAGTTAATCGCAGTCACATGCGACACGGTCGGAAATCAGGAATGTAAAGATCTGCCGGTAACTCCCCTGAAGGGCCGACAACCACAGTTTGGGTGCTTTGCAAACAGTACCAGTACTAGGTCAGTGCACGTCAACCGACAGAGAAAAATGGTGAATCGGATTTCAGTACTTGCAAGTTTACAATCCGCATCCACAT